TGTTATTTAGCTCTAATTTACCCCTAATGTCTTCTAAGAGTCCAGTAAGTAGTGGAAATGTGGGTAATGCTGCTAGACAATATTGATCTTCTGTGGTTCAACACGTTCTGTAGTTTGGCATCATCTGGTCCTAAGGGTGCTGGACTAGAGAGGTTCAATCTGTTGTCAAGATGGCCCTTATCTACACTTGAGACTTTCCATTCTACCTGTGAACATGATGTTATCCAATCCCTGTGTTAGGAAACCTTCCATAGACCCAGAAAGGCTGAATCTGAGGTTAATAGTTGGGCTGAGAGGGGCAGTACCAGACATTGATGGGGTTCACAATGGGGACTAGAGAGCTGGAGGAAGCAATAGGAGGGTGGAGAGCAGTGAGAAATGAGTTTTAGTTATTTGCTGTCCTTTGCCTGCTATGAGACTGGTGGGTGGAATTTGGCTTAGCTACAGCTCAAGTGGTAGCCAGTATCCTCATGGGAACTAACCATAGTGGAGGGGGGAAAATTGCTCATTTCACTGGTGTTTCACAACTCTTTGCCAGATGGCAGAGGAACGCTGGAATCCTGTGTTTAAAACATGGATTACACTTACAAGTTATATTGGCATAGCTGTGCTGCTCAGGCGTGTAGAAAAGCACATCTTTGACCTCCCCAAGTTACAAACCAACACTTGGTCCGTAACTCGAAGTGTTCGTAACTCGGATTCCATAGTTACATGGCTGTTCGTAAGCGCGGATCGCTGTTCGTAACTCGGATCCACATTTATGATCCCTTTGTTTGTAAGTGTGGATGGTCGTAAGTGGAGGTGGTCGTAACTCGGGGAGTGGCTGTATAGTCATCCCTACAGAACCCCCATGTAGACACAGCCATGTTGTCTCAATGCAGCTAAGATTATTTGAGAGAGGTGGTGTCCCTTCTATTTGTGTGGATGGAGCCTACACCAGAGGACTGTGCTAGCATGGATATGCCTGCATAGGCTCCAGAGTATAGACATAGCCTAATTCCAGGTTCTGGAGGTGAGTGTGCTCTAATGGGTGTAGAGCGTTCTGTTCTCTCTCCTAACCAGTCCCTCTCTTCTCCAGTTCCTTGCCTTTGCTCCTGTCCATTCTGTCTTTGTTCCTGTTTCCTCTTCCCTTCAGAGCTCCTATCACACTCAACCTTCCATCAATGTCCTGTGTTCCTTAACCCTCTGTATTGGTCATGGTGCTTTCTCTTTTCTTTCTATGCTGCCTGGATGCCAGTAGAGAAAGCAGTGCTTGGAGCCAATGCAGATTGTGAGGAAGGAGCAATTTCAGCTACCACAGCCTGCTCTGCTGCTCTGTGGATATGGTGCATGTGCAGTCTGGTCAGTCCATAAGAGCTATGAGGGGGTGGCGCATGCAGATGCGAAATTCAGAAAATGTAGCTGTCAAAATCTAATCATCCTCTACTGAGAATGTGTGCTCAGACCTTTATTGAGGCTTATAATTTGGCCATACATTGGTGGATTTTCTCAAAAATGACAAATAGTACATCCCTGGAGCCAGTGTGATTCTTTTACCAAAGCCGAATATGGAAAGACTTAGCGCTGCACAACAAAATGACCATAAGAATTACTCAACACCAGCAAAATGTTATTCCCTGACTTAGGTCTTGAAAATGACAACCATTGTTGCTGAAACTTTCCAAAAAAATTCAGGTGAGGCAGGCATCTGTCTCAGAAAATTTCTGCTAGAGCAGTTTTTCATTTTGGCAAAATTTTAAATGACTGAAAAGAAGGTCTTTCAGTTGACAGCGTTAGGCAAGCTTAGCTAGAGGCACTGTTTCTCACTTCCCTCTTCAATATCCTTCACTTTCTGGGACCCAAGCATGCTTCTTATCCTGGCAGGCTTCAGTTATAACAGTAAGGCCTGCCTCTTCCTCTTATGTGGCTGCTGCACTGACTCAGCCTTAAAGTGTCAAAACATATTAACCCAAAAAGGAGGACGTGAAAATATGGTAGACTGACCAGTGTTTGAACCAGCTCATCCCGAACATAGCTCAGTGCCTGTTGGATCACCTCTCCTGGTAAAAGATGTTTGAAGATGATAGACGTGTGTGTTTCAGAACATTCTGTGTACATGCAGCCATTATGGGAAAACATTCATTTGAAGCTGGATTTTCATTTTGATTTCAAGTGTAATTACAAAAGACCAGTAGAAAGATGGGACCCAGGCTAGGGATATTAGAACCATCGTCTTAATTGTGTGTAGTGAGCGATACTGTAAGATCTGAAATGTCAGATTTTTCACTAGTCACAGTTTTTAATTAAACTTCATATTGAAAAGGTCAGAGTGTCTTGTCTTCCTGCTGCTCTCACACTCACAACCTGATAGCAGTGAAGGAAGGGCATAGCAAACAAGCCTCTGACATGAAAAGAGCTAGATTAAAGACATAAGCTGTGCTGGCTATACTGTGTTGAATAAAGAACAAGCAATTGTGAATGATGCAGCAATTGTGTTCTGGTGTTCTTTATCACACAATCGTCAAAACTCATCTCCTGCCAATGAAACATTTTCTGTCATTGCTTATCATATATAGTAGCCCAATGTCTGTGACTCTCTAACGCTGAAATGCTGGCTGCTCTCTCTGGGCGGAGCTGTTGCCTCCCTGGCTGTTCCCTCTGGGCGGTGCTGTTGCCTGAGTCACGTCCTTCGCCTCCCGCCATGGTGCTTGGCTGACTTCTGCACCGCTCAGCCGGGCCGCTGCGGGGGAGCAAGTGGCGCAAGCGGCCGTTTGGGCTCTGTGGTCCCCTGAGTGAGAGGCATGAGGGGGAGGAGAAGAGAAAGAGAGAGACAGAGAGGCAGGAGGCAGAGGAAAGCTGAGACAGAGAGAGAGATGAGGAGGTAGTAGGAGGAGGAGAGAGACCCTGCCCCGCTCGGCCAGGCCGCCACGTGGGAGCAAGTGGTACAAGCGACCATTTGGGCTCCAGGCTCCCCATTCAGCACAGGGAGTGTGGTGCCCAAATGGCTGTTTGGGCTCCGTGGTCCCCCGAGTGAGAGGCAGGAGGGGGGAGGAGAAGAGAGAGAGAGAGAGAGAGAGAGGCAGGAGGCAGAAGAGAGCTGAGAGAGAGAAGGGGGGAGGCAGTAGAAGGAGGAGAGAGAGAAAGAGACACGGAGCGAGAGACTGGAGGCTCAGGAGAGAAGACCGACATGGAGGAGAGACCTGAAAATCCCGTCTTATGACAGGCTAATTGGCTAGTCATATATATAGTAGCCCAGTGTCTGAGAGTCTGTAACACTGAAATGCTGACTGTTCCCCCTCCTCCTTCTTCCCTCCAGCGCCCAGCTGGAAAATCACAAAGTACCGGACATTGCAAATACCGGACTGTCCAGTAGAAAACCGGCCACCTGGCAACCCTAGCCCCGGCGGGAGTGCCTCTCAGCTGCTCCCTGGGCGGCAAACAGCCATTTGGGGTCCTCACTCCCCATGTATGGGGAGCGCGGACCCCAAACAGCTGCTTGCCGCTGCTTGCTCCCCTGCCGCGGCCCAGCTGAGTGGCGCTGGCACTGCGCCACTCAGCTGAGCCCCAGTGGGACGGGAAGGGGGGCAGGGCACTGACGTACACGGCCAGGGGGTGGGGCCATGTATGTCACCGCCCCCCCCCCCATTCTCATCCCCCTTTGCCTCCTGCCATGGCGCTCAGCTGACTTCTGTGCCGCCCAGCTGGGCTACCGCGGGGGAGCCCAAACAGCCACTTGCTCTGCTTGTTCCCTGCAAAAGCCTGGCTGAGCAGTGCAGAAGTCAGCTGAGCGTGATGAAGGGGGATGGGGCGGTGATGTACACGGCCGGGGGCAGGGCCTGGACGAGCGTGCATCCCCGATGGAGACAGAGGAGAGTGGAGAGAGAGTGAGAGGCAGGAGGGGGAGAAGAGAAAGAGAGAGACCGGCAGAAGGTGGAGGAGAGCTGAGAGAGAGAGGGGGAGGCAGTAGAAGGAGGAGGAGAGAGAAAGAGACATGGAGAAAGAGATGGGAGGCTCAGGAGAGAAGACCAACATGGAGGAGAGACCTGAAAATCCTGTCTGCTGATGGGCTAATTGACTAGTTTCATATAATCATAGAAACTTAGGGCTGGAAGGGACCTCACAGTTATAGTCCAGCCGTGCTGAGGGGAGACCAAGTATATTTAGATAATCCAAGTGTTTGTCTAACCTGTTCTTAAAACCCTCTGACAGAGACTCCTCCACCTCCCTAATTTCACCTTTATCTCCCTTGCTTCATATTAAGCCCATTATTCCTTCCCTTTAGTGACCTGGAGAATTGTTAACCTCTTCTCTATAACAGTCTTCATATATGATAAAGGCTGCTCTCAACAAACCTTAGTAGGGGCCTTACACTAGAAAAAGACATGTCCTTATTGGTCATGTTCTAAACATTTTACAATCTTCGTTGCTCTCCTCTGGATTTTTTGCAGTTTGACCACATTTTCCTTAGTGTGGCATGCAAAACTGCATCTGGTACAAACACCTGAGTCCTGCCTGTGCATTCAACACCTACTATCCACTCACCCTCTCCTCCCTGTGAACTACACTTTTGCACTGCAAGTCATGAGTGCCAATAAATTGCCAAGTATACACAGAATTTGAGTCAGTTTCAGTCTGTGAAACGCCTTGTTCGTGATGCTATCATCGGCCATCTTTCAGAATGTTAGTCCTTGAGCATTTCAGATTTGTATTGCTGTGATAATCTGGCTGGAATTTTTCTTACAATCATATGCAATTTTCTTAATTCTATCACCATCCATACTAGTTATTCCAGTTTCAGCTCAAAGACCCTCCTTCTGGTTTCTGTACCTCCAAAGTCTGGGAAAGGCTCTGCAGACCCAGAATTAGCAAAGCATGGAGTGCATCCACCTCTAGACTTAATTTGGCTAGCCAGAGTCCATCCTGAATCTGTTTCAGCGTCATTGTCATGAATTTCTTTATGCACAAAATTGACGATTAACTTCATAAATGAAAGGCATCAATGGTTACTTGAAAGGACTCAACAAAATTCATGTTTAGCTTGTTCATATAATTTTACTGAATCCATTCAAAAAATAGACAGCACTATAAGGTGGATTGTGATTTCAGAGAATACAAAGGTCACATTATTTTTTTTTATACACCTTTAATTTAAATCCATTGATTAAGAGAATGAGTTGTCTCATGAACAAAATTAAGTTTCTTTAGTGAAAGAACAACTCTTCAGGTAAGCATCTAGACACATGTATTCTGGTTAAGGAGAGCTGGATCTACTACCTATAAAAATAGAACAACATTGTAAAATCTCTTTAGATAGATTCTGTAAGGTCAACTGATGGGATTGAGTAGAGACAGGACAGAGCAGGCTAGGAATTTCATTTTAAATCATAAGCTGATTTCCATCCTGCCAAGGCCCACATGTGTTATGAGTTTTAAAAATGTTTGGCAAAGACTCATGATGAGAGACACCACACCAAACAGTGGATGGGGGAAATGTGGAGTTCTTTTTCTCAATCAAAATTGAGTGTTTCATAATCCTGCTTTTGTAGCTTTTAAAAATAAAATAAAATGTGGTGTTTTTAAAAAGGATGGATAGGAGCAGATCTGTGTTGGTTTGTGGCAAATCTGGGCCTAAAATGATGTCTATTTCCCATATGGAACTGTTAGGTGATATGCCTAAATCATAATCTGGGAAGCACAGTTTCTTCTCTGAGAAACACAGACTATCTAAATTTATATTATTTTTATATAGAATACCAAAAATGACAAGACTACAAACATGAGTCTTGAGGAGGGCAGCATATATTTTTCCCATGTACAGCAGGATTGGGAAGTGAAAGAACACCAACACTAAAAAATGTTAGTGTAGATTAAAAAAAATACACAACATTAATTTTAATAGAGTGTAATTTTGAATGGCCATGAATCAACTAGTATGAAAGGTCTCATTTTTCTCAAATGAAACAAATGTTAAAAATCTTCTATCCCTTTCAATATTGTAGCAGTGTTGGTAGACTGACCTAGATCAACATAGGGTGAACACTTGTTTACACTATTCATACATCTGAACATGTAAATACATTATTCAAAGCACTAAGCACCTAAATTTCCCTCCTTTGCCAACATTTTAATTCTGTTGGGCAAAGTTTCCAATTAGTTCCCCTCTTACAGAGCAGAGCACTCAATGCTATACTGTAAACACAAATTCATATGCTCACAAAAGCTGACCTTTTCAAATTAAGTGATGTATAAATTAAAAAGGAAAATGTCAGGTTTCTGACAAAGGTTGGACATTGTGAACTTTGGACAAAGTGACAGGTATCTTCGATTCTCCTGGTGCTGGTGCTTTTGTGACTGGGTGAGCATGGGCTTTTATGTCGGCTATTCTCTCTTTAAACTTTTGCTGAAGGTACTTTTCTTCTTTGGAGTAGCTTTTAGCAAAAGCAGACATCAACAGGCATGCTGCCATCGTGGTCCCTCCAATACAAAATAAGATTGCTCCTGCCAGCTTACATATATCTAGGGCTCCATTATACTGAATGGCATGGTTATCCACAACCACAAAATCTTCTTCCTCAAGGGCTTCGATTTTTGGTGGCACAAGAAAACCTACTACAAGAACGGTTAACCCGATCAGCATAAAAACCACCCCAGAGATGAGTCCGACCTGGAAAACAAACAGAGTTAAAATGAATGTGGCCTCACAAGTTTGTAACACTTTTATTGTCTAGACAAATATCTGTCAGTCCTACAAGGAAGCAGACATTGTCTTTTGGGACCAGAGTCTCATAGAATTTGAATATGTGGCTGAATTGCCATGTTAGAATTGTTTTTACAACTACTCTTTGTTTAGATCATACATTCGGGAGTTTCCCAGAAAAATAAAATGTATGTGTAGAGGGGCTATGAGTGTGTATTGTTCTGCACTTGGGGTTCCATTACACAAAAGAGAACTTGATGATTACCTGTTTCTTTCCCTCTGGGGCACCTGGCAAGATACCTGGTCCAATGGACCTTTTGGTATGACCCAGTATAACCTAGTACTGCTACTAGGTAAAAAAAATGCTGCCTTTAGCATAGGTAGTGGAGGGCTGAGCTTTGGCATTGAAAGTCCTTAATTCACACCCTGGTGGCATCATTACATATGACCGCCTCTTGTTTTCTGTCCAGGAAATGTCTCTCTTGCAGAGGTTAAAGGGATGGTATGGTGTAAGTCAAGTTTCAGTAATAAATGCCAAGATTGATTCTCACAGGATCCCTAACTTTTTAGTAAACCAAGGCCTTATTGTTTCTCTGGAAATTTGATCATACACTCTGTGTGCTTTTATGAATGTCAATGAAAGCTTGGTATGACCATCAAGAGTAATTTCTCTATACTTTCACACATTATAGCTAAGATTTCACAAGAGATTGATTTTTATTTTTTGGTGCTTAAATTTTTGATGACCAACTTGATACACATTAAAAGGGCCTCATTTTCAAAGGGCGGGTGCTCAGCAGTGACTGATACCAAGTAATAGCTTCCATGGAGTGATGGGCTGTACCTTCCAGAATGCAGAGCTCCACCTGCTAGGTGACCTCTGGATCTGAAAATCATCCTCATGCTCCCAAATTGAAGCTGTGCAGTCCTCGTAAAATTGATGCAGATAGGACCGGACTCCATAGCGTTGATAACTTCCCTCAGCGCTGCTCTGTGCTTGCTTGGAGCTGCAGATATCCGCATATGAGCTCATCCTTCTTACCTGCAATGGGAGATTTCACACCAGACAGACCCAATTAGTAACCCTGGGGGATTTACCAAAAGGATGCAAATAATCTCTTGGTATGAGCTCTGGAAAGAGAAGAAACCCTGTGGAGTCTTCTCTCCAACCCATGCTCCCAAACTAATGAACTGATCTTGCTAAATGCCAAGCACACCTGACAGAGGTGAAGGGCCTTCAACTCCCACTGAAGCAGTAGGTATTGAGAGCCCTTCACATCTTTCAGGATTACACCCTATAGATGGATCAGTGAAAACTCAGCAAAGCTATTTTTACATGTAGCATTCCCAGTGCCATAATTCATGATGGAATATCATTTAATTTCATGTAACTTGAAAGAGGCATTGCATTACTGCAAGACTGAGTGCCTCAGTCTCTGATACAAACACCATTACTATTTGTCCCGGTAGGCATTGCTTGCTAGCTAGCTTTCTCTGTTAATTTGGAGCACTTCACAAACTCTTCTCGATGGCATGTTTTTCTTAAATCTGTAAAATAGAAACATGGCTATGGGAATATATATAATCATGACATCAACAGACACAGGGGACCTGATTATGAAGACTAACCTTAAAAATGAGTTTTTCTGAATAAAAATACATTTTGAGGATGGAACGTGTTCTAAAATTTGAAAATCAAAAAATGAAAATTGTTAGCCTATTTTAATGTACCAGATGCAAATATTAAATTTGTGAGATTAAAGCCTGGCTCCATTGACTACAAAAGGGTTAGGATTTTACCCACTGTGAAAAGTAAATCCTGTGTTCTAAGTTCTTTCCATCATAATAAAGTACTGGTAAAACAAAGTTTTTCTGGTTTAAATATCCAGGGCCAGACTCTGACCTCCATCCTCCTCTTCCTTCACTGAGTGTAAATGAAATCAGTCAGGCCTTTTAAAAATGAGTGTACCACTTTAATATGCCATCTGTAGATGAGTACTTTGTTTGGATTTAGTAGAATTATAGGAACCAAAAGGTAGGAGTGAGACCTAACTTCAGCTTCAAGTAATGCACCTGACTTTTTAAAGCTGTGCAATGCAAGCATATCTAACCTGTTTGTTTTAACTCTCTCTCCAATCCCCCTTTCCTGGTTTTAGCCCCTCTCTCATTAACTGGTGCAATACCCCAAATGCACGTGATTTCACTCACTACAGTATACTAGCTTCCCTCTCTGTTAAATGAGATGGACAAGTATTGCAGCACTCACTGAAATTATGTAAAAATCTGGAGCCTGCTAATTAAACAATGGCAGAATTCAGCTCTTGCTAGGTATAGAAATTGGCATGGCTATGCCAGTAATCCATTAGCTGCTTTAATTCCAGGTTGTTTTCATGGCTCAGTGTTGAGGAATGGCATGCGCTTTTCTCTGGTGGTAGTAACTTTCCTATTCCCCAGGTATTAATGTATTTTCCATATTCCTGCCATTATGGAAAGACATAAAAGCATCTGATATATCAAGGCCAAATGGATCAGATCCAGTATCCAGGAGGCCTACAAACATGTAGATATTCCCTGTCCAATGAGATTCAAAGCCCATTCCAGTACAGCAGTGGTCACCAACCAGTAGATCCTGGAGCCTCTGGCAGGTGATCCTGACTGTTTGGCCAGGAAGCTCTCAAGCACTGGCACTTCAGTTGCCCTTCCACCCACTGTCACGCTGCTCCTGTCTTCTGCCTTAGAGCTGCGCCCCCCCCCCCTCCCCGGGAGCCTCCTGCTTGCTGTGCAGGGTGTGGTAGGGAGAAGAATGGGGCGCTGATGTCAAGGGGTCCCTCCTCCCTCCATTCCTGTACCCTCTCTCCACCCAGAGAGAAGGGGATGAGGGAACTTGGCAATGCAAATCTGTCACACACACTCTGTGTGTCTGTCATTCTCACAAACACACTGTCCTTCACACTCATCTCCCGGCCCAGCACACATGAGAAGTCATTGTGACTTTTTACTGCTTGCAAAGTGTTATTTTTGGTTTTTGACTGGCCTGTGCATTTCATAATTTTCATTTCTCTTACACTTAAATTTAATTCTTTGAGTAGTGAGTTCTCAAATGCCTAACCTGTCATGGCTGGAGTCATTATTCCTGTGGTAATTGCTACTCAAGGACGTGGCTGGCATGTCCCTGCAGCCCCTAAGAAAGGCAGAGCAGGGGGTCTCCACACACTGTCCTTGCCTGCAGACACCACTCCTGCAGCTCCTATTGATCAGTAATGGCCAGTGGAAGCTGTGGGCTCAGTGCCTGTAGATGAGGGGTAGCACACGGCGCCATGGATCCACTGCTGCATATGCCAGCTGCTTTCATGAGAGGTGTAGGGCCAGAGCAGGAGTAAGCCTGCCTTAACCCCATTGCTCCACCACCCGGAAGCCGTCTGTTAGACTGTGTCCAGTCAGAGCCTGCTTCCTGAACCTGTCCCAGTCCTGAACTAACTCTTGCACCCCAGCTCCTGCTCCAGATGTGAGTCCTCTTTCCCAGAGCCCCTTCCACACTCCAAATTCATTAGCTCAAGACTAGAGTCTGCACCCCAATCCCCTACCTCAGCCTGGTGAAAGTGAATGATGATGAAGGGGGGGGGGAAAGGAGTGAGCAGGGTGAGGCAGTGGAGACGGGGTGGAGAAAGGGTGGGAAGGAAGCAGGGCAAGAGTATCTGGGTTTGGGTTAGATCTTACATTGCACTTAAATTGATCTTGTGGTTTAAAAGGTTGGAGACCACTGCAGTAGAGCCATGACCACCTCCTGCAGGAGAAAGTGGAGGTGCAACAAGCTTTATGATGTTGCTACCCAGCATTCCTGGACCCTCTCTGTTAAGCATTCAGACAGAGCAGATGAAGAAGCTCTTAACAGGGGTTTCAGTGAGTTCTCCTTTTGGGGAGTGGGATGGGAATCTAAAGGTTCCTTTCTCTTCCCCCGCTTCTCCCCAGCCTCTTGTTCTTCCTCCCTATGGTATTTCTCACAGACTGAGGCTATGTCTAGACTGCAGGCTTCTTTCAGAAGAAGCTTTTCTGGAAGAGGTCTTCCGGAAAAGCTTTTCAAAAGAGAGCATCCACACAGCAAAAGTGCATATAGAACATTTGTGGTGTTCAGGTTTTTGATTCATTGTGTGAAAGGGGAAATCTTTATTCCTTATGTGTTCTGTTCCTGCTGTTTCCATACCTGCAATAAAAGTCCTTTCTTTGTGATATCACAATCTCTCCAGCAACTAGCTAGCTGTCGTGTTACAGAAGACAGTGACTTCAACTGAAGAATGCTTAAAAAAAACAATCCCAAATCTTTTCACATACCCCAAATATACTTATGCAAATACTCCTAGTAAAAGCAAAAAATGAGAACTATATGTAACCAGACTTCTAAATACTATAATAAAATAGTAATAATTCATAAGCAGAATGTTTTATTTGACAAACAATATTTTGCGCACACTGAAGTGATCTCAATCACAGACATTCAGCATCATAATAGATCTATAAGGTAGGTAAGTACTATTAATGCCCATTTTATAGATGTGTGAAGCAAGTCATTGAGAAGTTAAATGATTTACTTGCCTATCACCACATAATAAGTTACTGGCAGAACCTAAAACTGACCCAGGATTCCTGTAATCCTCTGCACACTGGACTATAAAGTGATTATATGAATTACCAGTGCTGATTTATTGACACAGCCCTTTAACACCTATATTCATATTGTCGTATTATCCTTCAAAGATCTGACCACCTTATTAATATGCCTTCCAGTGCCTCGCAATGAGGAGTAAACCTCAATATCCCCATTTACCAGATGTGGTAGAGGGAGGCACACACAAATTATTATGAGGCCTAGTGTTTGCAAAGTATCTTGACATCACCTGAGGGTGTGCCAAAAAACCTGAGGTAAACACACAATTTAAAGAGATTGTCAGTGATGCTCTGTACTGACCTAAATGAGTAGGAAGCAGATTAGCATCCCTCCCACCACATATGGGACTTGACAGGAAGTCAGCACCTTATATTCCATAGGTGCCTAAATACCCTGAAAGATCTGTGCTTAAAAGCCAATGCTTGGAGATCTTTGCCCCCAAAGAGGGGGAAAACATTGTTACCCCATATCAGTGTTCTTCTCTGATCTAAGAGCATGTAGAAAGCCATGGAACAGCTGTTTATCTCTAAACCTTTTCACAGAATAACAGAGGGCCAGTGTAATCATTACCAAGTTTTAGAATAGAGAATTTTGAATCAGAACTTCAGAACAAGCAGCTGCCCCTTACCCATTCCCTAGCAACTTTATTCAATTGTTAAAAACTATCCAATGTTTTTGTGCTTTATTACACTGCACGGATACAGCAGGGGGTGGGAGGGAAGAGAGGCAAGATCAGTGTTGTGAACAAATGAATAAAACATTGAGCATGTTTGAAGAGAAATTACTGAATGAATTTTCAAACTGCTTTGCAATATATTCAATGTTTACCTTTTTAGAAAGCTGAATTTTAAAGCTATGCTAAAACAGAAATGTGATGTTGCTCTCAGAACGTGCACATACATGATCATGAACCTACAAATGTAAAACACAAATTAAAATGGGTTCTTACGTTTGAAGTCCTTCTCTTCAATGTTAGACACTCTGACCTTTCTGTTTAAAGGCTCATCTTTCCAGTCTTTACCTACAGGGGAAAAAAGACCTTAGAATTAGTGAATTCTGGAGTAAAGAACATGGATGATAATTTATGGGATAATCTTGATGCTTAAAAAAACCTAATATCAATACATAGTGTTCCCTTAGGATAGAGGCTAAAACAGGGGTGGGCAATAATTTTAGATGGGGGGGCACTTCACTAATATTTGAAGTAACCTTGGGCTGCTATAGAAGGGGCAGGACCTCTGGCAGAAGTGATGGAGCCAGGACACTTCCGTGCTTCCCCTCCCATAGATCCTGATTTGCCTGGGGGTGAGGGAGCATGTGAAATCTTTGCCCCTTCCCTCCCCCACCTAAAGAGAACCACCAGCTGTTCAGAACAACTGGCAGTTGCTTCTAGGCATCCGCCCCCTTGCAGGGTAGGAGGAGACTTTGCAAGCTGCCCCAACCCCAGGCCAATCAGGGCCTGGGAGTGGGAGGAGCACACAAAGTCTCTCCATCCCTGCCTCCATGTAGCAAGGGATGCATGGCACTTGCTGGGTGGGGACAGGAAATGAGAGCTTTCATGCCCTCCTCCTGTCCCTAGACCCTGGGGGCGGGGGAGTGGCAGGGTGTCCCTGGGCCGGACTCATCCACTTGGAGAGTGGGATTTGGCTCAGAGGCCTCTTGCCCACCCTGGGCTAAACCAAGACTCATGCAAAGTTCATTGAAATCAATGGGTATCTTTCCATCCACTTGAGTGGGTTTTGCATCAAGCCCTCTGTATAAGCCATCAGGCCTCTTTTCTTGTTTGAGGAATCAATCATGATCTCTGTTAGACGGCCATAATGTAAAGCACTCTGCTTTCCTGCACGGGCTACACCCTTTTGAGCACAGGAGAAATGCAGCTCCTCTTCCCTATTCTGTGCAGGTAGGTGGAGCCTGACTTCAGCTAAAGCAGCACAAAGGAGGAAATAAACTACAACAGGGAGAGAAATGACACAAATTACTTCCCTTAGTCAACAAGAGGGAAGTAGAGACCTTACTGTGACTGCATCAGGTCTCAGGTCTGCTCCCAGGTCAGTGCAACTAAGCAGTAAGCAATACTAAGGGCTCATGGCAATACCACCATCTCACACTTAGGGAGTCACAACTTTTAAATAGGTTTCAGGAGGGTAATGGGTTTGCAACAGGTTAAACACATTGTATGGTGTAATTACAACAGGATGCACCATAGCAGAAAGGAAAGGTGACTTTGGGTTTGCGAGCCTTACTTCCCTTTAGGAACAATTAAGGAAGGCTGTTCTTTGCTGTTTTTCTTTGTTAGACAAACAAGGTCGATGGCATTCTCCACCCCTCTGGAAAAATGGCGGAAGTACTACTCTCTGTATAACATAGCTCCTGTGCCTCGCTGTTGCAATGGAATTCAACCCCCCTTCTAATCACCTCAAAAATCCCCACCCACTACCCTCCCTCTGCCCCAGGAAAGCAGCATGGCGTCTTTGAAGGATACTTGTTTACAATGAAGTTACTAGAGTTCCCTCGTCCTCTGCTATAACTATATTGCCTGAGAGCTGCCTGGGGCTGTTTGCTCTGGCGCGGCTGCGAACCAGTCCCGCGGCAGAACGCCCTCCCGCAAGGGCGAAGACCGTATAGTTCCCTCTTCAGGCCACTCTGCGGAAGGTACAAACGACGCCAGAATTTCTACTGGTGGCTGGAGCAGCGCGACCCACCTGCCGCAGCTGGATTCCTCGCCCGCTTCGGCTCTGCAGGAGGCAGGAACCTTCAGCGCCCTTCACCTCCGGCCTTTAGCGGCGCCGCGGGCGCTCTCCGTGGTGCTGAAACCCGGCCGCGGCTCAGGCGGGCGAACCTGTTCCCCCGCTGCAGCAGCAGCAGCACCTCGCCAAGCAGCCGCCTCCCAGCAACCGGTGATTCGTTTTCGCTGGGCTCGGGGGATGAACCCCCTTCGCCCGGCCAGACCCACGCGGTGTGCTCCTAGAGACGGACAGCGCCCTCGGGTTCTTGCCCTCCGCGTGACCCAGCGGTGGCTGCCAGACGTGGAACCAGCCCAGCCCGCTGCCCCTTGCAGGGCTTGCGCCTACAGCAGCAGCCACACGGAAGCAGTCTGCCCCTCTCGGGGGCAGGGCTGGGGCGGGGGGAAGGAAGGGAGAGGAGGGCTAAGCGGGACGTGGGGCTGGCCGGGAATACCGGTTCGCGTCTAAAGATGCGGGCATGTGAGGAAACCTCCAGGAAAGGGTCCCACCAGAGGCTCTCTGGGCTGGAAGTGAAATCCCGCCCTGGAAAGCCAGCGGCAGCAGCTGCGTCGGACTCACCCGATCAGAAGCACCACGGGCGCAGAAACTTGCCCCCCGCGCCCCGGCTAGTGCTCAGATCAGCCCCTCCCCTGCAAATCTGCCAGGGGCAAGTTTGAAGACCCGTCGGGACAGCAGACGCTTGGCACAGGGACACTCCCTCCCTCTCCATGCAGGGGGGGGGGCGATGCCATGGGCAGTCCTGGCAGCAGCTGCCCGCGCTCGGCGGAGCTTACCTGAGCCTCCCCGCAGCCGTCTGAGCAAGTGCAGCCGGGCTAGCTGCAGATCTCTCGCACGGCTCCCATCTCCGCTCTGCGCCGCTCCGGCCTCTCGCACCGCGTATGTCCCTGTCTCCTGCCCGCCTCCCTGCCGCGCCTGCGCACTCAGCCGCTGCTCCCGGGCGCTGAGGCGTGGGCGGGGGCAGCCAGCAAGGAGGCAGCCGGGCTGCTCCTTCCCTCCTCTCACCCGCTCGCACTGCTGTTGTCCCATAGGCGCGGCAGCAGCTGGTGACTTGGGGCACTGGTGTTATTGTCATTGCCTTTCCCATTGTTCCTAGGAAGCGGGCAAAGCTCCCTCCCGATGCATTAGTGTCACTAAAACAGACATTTCTCTCCTCCCCTCCCTCCCAGTGGGACGTGAACGCAAGATTTCTAGTCTCAGAGGGGTAGTCTTCTTAGTCTAACTTTCAAAACAAGGAGCAGTCCTGTAACACCTTAGGCTATGTCTAGACTGCAGGCTTCTTTCGAAAGAGGCTCTTTCGAAAGATCGCGTCTAGACTGCAGGCGGATCTTTCAAAAGAGAAATCCGCTTTTTCGAAAGAGAGCACCCAGCGAGTCTGGATGCTCTCTTTCGAAGACGGCCTCTTTACATTGAAGAACGCCTTCTTTCGAAAGAGGAACTTTCGAAAGAAGGCGTTCTTCCTCGTGAAACGAGGTTTACTGCCATCGAAAGAAAAGCCGCGTTCTTTCGAAATAATTTCGAAAGAACGCGGCTTGAGTCTGGACGCAGGGGAAGTTTTTTCGGGAAAAGGCTACTTTTCCCGAAAAAAACCCTGAGTCTGGACACGGCCTCAGGGTGCATCTACACAGCAGTGTTATTTCGGAATAACGGCCATTATTCCAAAAGAACAATGCGAGCGTCTACAGGGCAAATAAATTTGAAGTAACAGATGGCTTACTCTGGCTTCTGTAAACCTCATTCCACAAGGAGTAATGTTTTTTCCAAAATAGCTATTTTGAAATAGCTGTAGTGTGGACGCTCCACTGCTGCTATTTCAAAATAGCTACTCCCCCAGGGTATGTCTAAACTACCCCGCTAGTTAGAACTAGCGGGATAATGTAGGCATACCGCACTTGCAAATGAAGCCCGGGATTTGAATTTCCCGGGCTTCATTTGCATAATGCCGGGCGTCGCCATTTTTAAAGCCCCGCTAGTTCGGACTCTGTGCCCGCGGCTACACGCGGCACGGACTAGGTAGTTCGGATTAGGCTTCCTATTCCGAACTACCATTAC